AAAAAAAAAAAAAAAAAAGTAAAAAGTTTAGCAACATGGCTGATGCAATGGCTGAGTAATTGGGGCAGATACACATGGACTAAAAGGCCCTGAGCAGCTCCTACATGCCATTTCTCTGCTATTTTCCCTGTTTCCACTGCACTGTCTAATAAAGTCAACTTTAACAATTTTGAAAAGTGGATTCAGCGCAGTTGATCATTTATTTAAAAGTCACCTCTAATTATTGAGTTATTTACTACAAATTAATGCACCTGACTTGCGATACAATGCTGCCATTTACCACAGTCATTGTGACTGTTTTTTTAATTGTCTCACTCATAATAAAGCGTTTAATCCCCGCATTAAATTTCACTTTTCCCCGGTTGATTCATGTCATGTGGCCTTCCGTTTTAAAACTACATTACTCAGACGTTCACCGTTTGGCCACACCTAAAGGCTTCCTAGCCAGCTTTAATGTATTAGAGTGGTCTGGTTCTGTTTCGTGAGCAAGTTTAGGAGTTGCCTGTTTTCTGAACTGACTAACAAAAGTAGTTTTAGCTGGACAAAGGGCTTATTTGGGGAGAGTTGTTGTGACAAGTGCTGCCGTGCTGGTGAAAGAATTACATGACATTTTAACACCAGATCACTCAACTTGTCTTTGTCACGCTAAAAACACAAACACACTCTCAACAATGGGGACTGGGCTTATCTTAACCGTGGCTCAATCACTTAAAATACGATAGAAAGTTCACTTTTTCAGTTAAGAATATGCCTGAATGCCTCAAACTGCCAAAGCAGACAATGGTTCTCTTCATCTCAGTGATCACAGCTCAGAGTGGCAGGTAGGGGAAAAAAAAAAAATCAATGCTCTGTACTGAGTTCACTCTAACAAAGAACAATAGTGGATTTAGAAACAGGGAAACACCACGTAGAAATATGCAGTTTCTTTTGGTGATACTGCCAGATAAGCATTTCCTGACACCATCTGATGCTATTTTCACCCTACTATTGATCAGGGCTCTTTGAAAGGAGCAGAGGAAGTCCAGGAGGTTGTCTCAGTCAAATTGGTTACACATCATGAAGTTGTATAGTGACTAATAATAATCTATACTGTATTGGCTGTAGGGAAAGGGCACTGGATTTAGCATTACCTCATCTCACATTACTCCCTTCTGCCAGTATGTTTCTACACAGCTGTTTCCCGATATCCAACACAGTGCTTATTTCACAGATAAATCTACTGTTTCCATCCCAAAGAAAACGATGTATGGTCACCTATAAATCAAAATAGAATTTTTAAAAAAATTAATTAAAAATAGACTCTTAAAAACTAGAACATAGAACACAGAACATATTGTATACGTTTAAAAAAAACAACAACCCTGAATAGGACTTCTAGCAGGTGTTGTTGGGACAGAAACCCTCTGAGTTCACTGTTAATTGCTATCATGCATACATGTCAGTATGCTGCTTGCTCAGCCAGTTATAGCAGTTCTCCACCAATCACGGGAGCCATTTTAAGAGCTTATTAACACTCCACTACCGGTTTTGACAGCCACTCCTTACCACTCTGTCTGCTCTGACGTACAGCAGCCGTGGCCTAAGCCTTAGGTGGGTAGCTAAATACACAAACTGGTTGAATCCAGTTCCAAAAAATGTGAGCAATATGGCCTTTAACACGTTTGTCCAAATGCAGTCCGCACGGCCGTTGGCAATAGTAGTTAATGGTTTGACACTCCCTAAGAAACAAAATGCTAAGTATTTCCTTATTGCTGTAACAATGATTTTATCCTCGTTGGGACTGAAAAAAAGGTTGAAAACGGAAAACTGTCAGTTTACCAAAATTACAGAAAAACATGTTTTCTCTCACACCTCAAGGTCAATTTAGAAGCTTTATGCAATACAAATTCTTTGACACACACACACACACACAAAATAATGTCTTTTTTATTATTGTGACGACAAAACTTTTAATTTTCGCGAGTATATTTCACTGGGCTTCTGCCATAACTTAACTTGACATACAGATGTGAATGCCCTGAAATTGGTTTACTGTTTATCTTGGAAATGTAATTATTCTGCATGATATGAAGGAAAAAAGGAAATGTTATTGAGTGGATGTAGAGACGCTGCTACTACCGGAGATAATGTTTGTTTACTGTGTTACAGAAAGTAATATGATGGCAATCGATGATGTCACAATCCCACCCAGAGTCTGTATGTATTCATCTGTATTCATCTGTACACTTTCACTGTATGCGTTTTCCAGGAGTGTGTATTTGAGCAGCTCGAGGTGAAGCAGAGCATATTTCAGGACATCGAGCGTCTTGTGGGGAAAGTTGTGATCCTGAGCAGCTCTACCTCCTGCCTGGTGCCGAGCAACGTCTTCTCCAAAGTGCAGATCAGGAGCCGCTGCCTCGTCTCCCATCCGGTTGGTGCTGCACACAACTATAGCACCTGGCCATGACATAGTCTGGGTTGAGAGGAGCCTTGAATACTTCGAGCCTGAAGTGTTCATACTCTTTTGTGTTGTTGCCCTGCAAACACCTGCCACACCTAAAGTTAGACTGGAGTGATAGTAAATTATTCCTTTCAGGCTTCCTAAAACAATGTTGATGTGCGTCTTCTCTGTTTTTAGCAACACTGAAAGAAAAAAAACCTGAATCCATTCAAGCATCATTACTGATTTCAGTATATACTAAGGTTTTAGCAGTTCTTTTGCTTGCTCTTTGCAGAAACAATAATGTTCCCTTTCAGTCGACTCAGTTGGTACACATATAGTATGAGATATCACACCCCGCGTCACCTGACTGAAGACACCTTTATTCACCACTTTACGTCAGATGATCTGTGATGACATATGTGAGGCCCCGCCTGCACATATAAATACCTGGCATCATAGTCATCCCTCAATGAAGGGAGCTTTCATCACTTCTGCTGTATTTTTTAAATGATTAAAGGTGAAACAATGCTTCTGTCAGAACTAGTTGTATTCCACTGAATATTTATTAAGAAATGTACTTTTCTAGGCTATTTTTCACCTTAAAAAAAAACATCCCCAAATTCAGTCAGTAACAGCTTGATGACTGTAAAGCCAAGATGAACAATTTAGGGTCTATGGATAAATACACATGGAAGATATTCAAAGTGCATTAAGTCTCTTTATTTTTATCTTTAAGAAGAGTAACATTTGAACAATCAGCAACAATTGAAATTTTTACTTCTACCAAATGAAAATTATAGAGAGTAAATAACCTTAAAACACTGACTCAGCAAACTCTTGAACATGTTATTGAACCTTTTCTGAAAATATCAGCTGCAACAAAAACAGTGCAACAGGTATGAAGCATGTCCAATTGAATCAGTCAGTGAATATGAAAAACTCCAAAAATGTGTTTGTTTTAGTGACAGATATAGTCCCAGTAAAAGGTAAACAAACTGAACAAATTCATGTTCAGAATAAACCTCTTTTTATAGTTTGATCCTAGATTGGAAGAGATTCTCAGCATAAAAATACAATGGCATAATGAAAGTAATGGTGATTTTCAATTTGAAGTATTTTTCTATGAGAACCAAATTTAGTAATTCCACCAAAAAATATTCAGGAGTATCAAGGTTGCTGAGGGACTCATCTATATAGGTTCTCAGCATCTAGTGTAACTAGTAGTATGTCAGAGAGTTAATTTATGTAAATATCTGTTTTTAAAAGAACAAGTCAATTATCTCAAACATATAAGATCCATAATTTGCTATTCTTGTTCTGCACTTCAGAGGATCACGAGGAAGTTCGCAAGTCAATCACAGGTTTCACACAGTGAGACAAACATCTATTCATGCTTACATTCACATCTATGGCTGATTTATAAAGACAAATTCATCTGTCATGCATGTCTATGGACTGTACACAGAAAAGTTGCACTTGTACTCATGTAGGCATGATCTATTGTCTGTCCATCACCTAATAGCTGTTAAATGTAGTTAGATTACAGTGTCCCACCAGAATAATTTCTTTCAATGCCCCAGCTAAATTATTACTTGGAAAACATGTGGTATCTAACTGTGGAAATGTCACTAAATCACAGTTCCTTTGCATCAGGAAGTTAAACTCTGTATGATGTGTATTTGACTTGTGCTCCCCAGGTAAACCCACCCTACTATGTCAAACTGGTGGAGCTGGTACCTCACCCAGAGACAGCAGCTGCCGTTATGGACACCACCCACACCCTGATGACCAAGGTACAGATCCCAGATTGCGCAGTCCTGAGCCCAGTTATGTGAGAACTTGTAGAAGCGATGGAAAAGTGCGTCATCATGACATTAGGAAAAAGCCAAACCCTAGAGGTGGGGAATGTGATCAAAGATTATTGTAAAAACAATAAAAAGGAGGCCAGAACAGGAGTGATATGGGGCATTTGGTGCTGCTTAGAAGTCTAGCTGCTAATTAATTTTCACCATGTTGTTAAATGAGTTGCTGCACAGTGGTTGGTTTGATGGTTCCCAGTCATTTTCAGCATCAGACTCTCAAATCTATGATGATAGTGTGCCACGGTTCCTGGTACAGCTGTTGCACCACAAATGGCAGCAAATAGTTTACTATGAAGGATTACGTATTTCCAAGCAAGTCTCAGCAGGCTGAATTACTTAACATGTTGAAATAAACAGTGGCTTCCTGAAAGAACACCTTCCTTGTAGCACGAAGGCTGGCAGTAATGTAAATAAAATAACAGCTCAGTACTCCACTATTGTTGTTCAGGCGTCATTGCCATACTTGAGTGATTCAAGAACTTTCTTCAGGATTAATAAAGTTCACTCTAATCCCCTTTTCTCTTGATTCAGGTTGGCCAGGCGCCCGTCCGTCTGAGAAAAGAGATTGATGGCTTTGCCCTCAACAGAGTCCAGGCAGCCATAATTGCAGAGTCATGGAGGCTGGTCCAGGTAGGTGTCTGGGTTGGGTGTTATTGCTGAAAAGCCAGTTTTAGTTTTATTAGAATGAGGCTGCTTTTCTTCTTACACTAGCCAGCAAATTGAGCAAGTATTATCTTGTGACCCATGCCCTCTTCCCGTCAACTATCAGAACCACTAGTTTTTGTTTGCTTGCCAGTTTTTCATTGGTGATATTTTATTTACAGTTATTTTATATGTCTATGCTCTCAAAGTCTCAAAGACTTTTTTTTTAGAAAATACCAACAACTTGCTTTGATCTGCCACAGTCAACCAGTGCACCAAATTACCACAGATAGACCAAGTGAATTTTAAGATTATGAAAATACTGAAAATACCAAACTGTTGGAATGCTGCTTCCATGGGTGTTACGTTGAATAACGAGAATAAAGTTTAATTTGACTAAACTCAATTCAGTTCAATTTTATTTGTATAGCACAGTTTACAACATATATCATCACATAGCACTGAACATAGTAAGATATAGACCTAGACAGCTGTCAGTGAGCAAAATTGTACCTGCATTTGCACACCAACTCCAAACAAGTTACTGATGAATTTGGCATCAGAACATTTGTCTTGTAATGCTGTCATAAATTTACCAGCTCTAGATTTTCAACAAAAGCAACACATTTTGGTGTTACGGCACTGCTAAAGTTGGATCCTACATTCTAATGTTGCTTTTCATGCTGCCAGATACACAAGAGTGTGCGTGTCTGTTTTTACTTCTGGACAAGAGCGCCTCAGTCTCAGTGAGGTTTTATGTGGCCGAGTGCTGCTGCTGATGGTTTTGTAATGGAGGCAGAAAAGAGGAAGCCCTTGTCAGCTCACCTCTGCTATAATCTCCACGGTCTCCTTCCAAAAAGGAACACAATGAGAGTAAATGAGCTTTAGCCTCTGATGACAGGGTGCCATTACATGATCACTCAGGGATGAAATGGTCAGAATGATAATAAGGACGATGAGTATGATGACAGTTACAACTGGTGGAATGTAAACTTGAGATGTGCACAGTGTTGCCTGAACTGAACCCACATAAAGCCTTTGCAGCTTTTCATTTTGAGTTTAGCTTCAAATACAATAGCACAGACATCAGAAATACAACAATTCAAATGGCTGTCTTGTATTCAATACTGTGACACCAGACATTTCTAGTGAATAATTTTAAACTTTCGCACTAAATCTTTCTTCATACGTTCACTTTCTCAGAATCAGTTTCATATTTTATGTGCTGTTTTGTGTTTTCTCTCAGTAACTCATGCTGTTATGGCTCAGTCTCCTCATAAATGGACAAAATCTCTGTCGTTTTGCTTTAATCAAGGCAACATGAATATATTGTTTTCTGCCAAAGTTTGGATCATTTTTGTTATTTCACAAAACAAAACAGATTTCAGTGTGTCTTTGTTTCGTTGGACCCACCTGGAGCTAACATGAGCCATCTGTATATAGATAGCAGGAACTAGCAGGAGCTAAAAGGAGCTAACTAGATTGAACAAGAGTCACCTGCAGTTAAAAAGAGGTACCAGACACTAACAAGAGCTAAAAGAAGCTAACTGGAGCTAACAAGAGCCATAAGTAATTAACAGGAGCTAAAAAGAACTATCTGTAGGTAACGCAGGCTATCGAGAGCAAACATGAGCTAACAAGGGCTAACAGGAGCTATCTGGAGCTAACCGAAGCTAATAAGAGCTAATGGGAGCCAACAGGAGCTATTTGTAGCTAATGTGAGCTAACATTAGCCATCAGGCGCTAACGGGAGCTGCGTGAAGCTACCAGGACCTAATAGGAAACATCTGGAGTTATCTACAACTAACACAAGCTACCTCAACCTCATAGAAGTGAATACAAGTTAACAACATTGCAGTTAACTGCATACTCAAAATTTATCCAACAGCAGTCTGTATGTTTAGTCAGTGTCCAATAAAACCTGATCAAACAACAACCACACTGTCCAGACAAAAGAGATTAGCTAAATGTTTATTGTGAAACTCTTGATAAGTGATATTCAAAAATGTTTAATCATAAAGAAGCTAAATAAAGATGCAATAAATATATTAATTCTGCCTCATTCATGGATATAGGTTCAATTTAACACCCTGGTGTGGAATTAAAATGCAAAATACAACATGTATGTATGCTTAACTTATTTATAGTAGCACATTTTATTATTATTATCATTATGCATGAAACACAATTTGTAATTTATCAACTATCTGCATTTTAAGGGTACTACAGTGATTTAGCATTGATCGTTTTTCGTTTAATCTGCAGGATACAGATTTAAAAAGTATGGTTAAAATTGATTCAGTTAAATTTATTGTCTCTTTTTGCAATCAGATCCTTTTAAACATTGTCTTGGCTATTTCTGACAAATAAAACTATTTTTTCATTACTTTAATGGATTAGCTTTGCCCTCTGTAAGGATTAGTAATTACTTTTTGCTTCAGCAAATTGTACCTTTCATTCCTGGCCTGGCAATTATAACTCTGAAAGACAGTGTGTAACAAAGAATTGCCTTTTTAAATCAGCACATTGTGTCCCTGACATCACTACACTGTACTTATAAGTTACAGCGTGTGACTTGTGTATCAGATACAACAAAACTCGTTCACACAAAACAAAGACTTGTGACAATAAACTAACCATGGCCCAACATGGAAGGGTGGCAGATGAGCAACAACAGTATGGGTGTGACACATGATGTTGTCACATATTTCAACAGACAAGGCTGTTTTAAACCAACCGAGGAAGACCTGTGACAGGCAGAGTTCACGAGCAGCTCCAATTTAAGGACAATAATTGAAATTTGGTTGAAAAGCAAACAAAAATACAACACTGTGAATGGATAGAAATAGTATGTACAAATAATTCAAAGTAACTCCAAAATGTTTGCTGTTTCTGTTTGACGTAAAGAAATTGTTTTGGATAGTTTAAGCATAGATAAGAATGCAAACAGGAACAAGACATGTGGCAGTGAAAACTGATCTCAATACATCCTTTTTTACAAATACAGAACTGTATTTAACTAGGAAATTACCTTAATGTTAATTATTGCTGTTTTTTTTATTAAACTGCTTTATTTTGTTTTGCTTTTTTGCATTAGGCAACTTGTCTGATCTCAGTGCTTGCATGATTGCGCATATCTTATATTGTCTTACATGGTCTTATCTATGAATAAGATCAAATATAGATAAAACAGAAATTCAGTTTATATTTTATACCGAAATACATCAAACTATACAAACACTATGTATGGAAGGAACATTTTCATACTCATACGAGGCGTGTCAGAAAAATTCCAGGACTGGTGTCACAAAAGATATATTTCAAACCCAAGCTACAAACTATGAGTTTTCCCCTTCAGACGATCAACCAGCACGTCTACAAAGAGATCCTGCAGCATTTGTTTGTTCAGTGCGCAAGAAGAGGCGAGAGTTGTGGTAGGACAAGTCGTGGCTGCTTCACCATGACAACGCGTTTGCTCACAATGCCCTGAGCATCCGACAGTTGCTGGCTGAGAAGAACTGGAGCAACCTCCCTACTCACCCCACCTGGCTCAGTGGGATTTTCTCCTCTTCCCCAAGCTCAAGGGGGTCATCAAGGGGACCCGTTTTGAAGACGTGGATGACATCAACATGGCTGTGACGATGGAGCTGGGGAGGATCCCGGAAAAATCGCTCTAGGAGTGCATGGCGGTGTGGCAGAGAAGGCTGGGAGAGTGTGTTAGACTTCAGGGGGATTACTTGGAAGGGGAAAACTTGTAGTTTGTAGTTTGGATTTGAAATATGTCTTTTGTGACACGATCCTGAAACTTTTCTAACACACCTCATATAACATTATAGTGGACCTTCAATGGAAGCTAATAAATTAGCAGAATCTTCTAACCGTTACTTAACTGTTTGCAAATGAAAATATTCTACAGGTTAACATAACAATGTACTTACTGGAAAAAGTGAAAGGAATCTTTGTATAATCAGATTTGACTTTAAAACTGCAGGACACTACAAGGATTGTTTAATAACTGGCTTGCAAACAGCAGCAATCGATTTTGAGTTACTTATTTGACTCATGTGGTTGGATTTTTTACAGTGGAGGATTAATGCATGAAGGGACATTTCTTCTTCTGTACACTAGTAGGTTTGGTCCATCACGTGTATTTACACTTTCATGGAAAAAATCGTTGATTTGCACAATGTCATGCTGATGTACGGGAGATGTGCATGCCTGCGCTTGTGTCATTTGATTCTACTTTTCATTGTTTCTTTCTCATCACTCATTTGCTCCATTAGTTAAACAAAGCCCACAGTAGCTTGTGCAAGATTGAGTCACTGCTGCGGAGGTGTGAACAAAACGCTTTAAATCCTTCTTTGGATTTGTAAATGTCAGGCAACCCTTACTCTACGTTGATGCTACGTGTGTTTAAATTAGTATAAAAACAAAGTGCTTTTGAATCTTTTCTTCCCTAAATTTGAACTGTGTCCTCTATAAAATATAAAACATCACCCAAGTGATTAAAAGGCTCTGAAACTCTTTAAAACTAGATCGTGTTTGTAGCTTTAAAGCAGATGGACAATGAGGATACGCTGCAGCACTGTAGACATTTAGACTGAGATTCAGTTTTCAAAAGTAAGTAAAAAAAAATTCCCTATAATAATCCTATTTTCCTTGTTTCATTGTGTATACTGTGATTCTCTGTTTTAGATTATACAGGAATTGTGCTAAAAATTTACTATTAAATTTTAAAAAATAACATTCAAATTGGACCAAAATTCACAAAATATGTTTTTTCAACACTAACATTGCTCCTCAATCTGTGAAGAACGTTAGATATTTGTGCTTCCATATTTTACATATAAGTCTGCTGCTAATTTGCACATATATCTACAAATGAGGCAGAATGAGTAATAATTTATTACATATTTCTATAGTTTCCTTATGATAGGCAACAATCAAACATCTTTGAGTATCATTTATTGACAGTTTCACGCTCAAAA